ATGAGTGATGCTGAAAATATAAATAAGTGTATTGTTTTTATTTTTAGAACACCACATGTGCTGCTTGACTATTTTCTTATTTCAGATGTCTGTTAATGCAAACTAGGCTACTCCATGATAGTGTTAAAAACAAAATGTACTAACAATGTGATATAAAGACTTTAAAAGTTAGGCATTATGTGGAGCCCTATCTTTACAGAAGTTTTGTACTGTTAAATGCTTTTACTTTTATTTTCAGCTTTCATTTTCTAGTATTCCACCATAATTAAAATTGCATAAGATAATTGCTTCACATTTCACATACATATATTTACCTGTAGTAACTTCTTCTATAGCATGTTTTAAGGTACTATTCTTGACAGAGAATATTATGCCAGAACATTCAGACTTTTCCAAGTTTTGTAAAATTTTTAGAAGATTTGTATCAATACCAGAGAAACATAGCATTCTAAGAAAGAAGATGTTTATATTAAAGTCAAAAAACAGATTGGATCAGAGTTTTAAAGGGATTGTTTAAAAAAAAAAAAAAAAAACAGGGACTAGGAAGGTGTGGTTGTAAGAGATAGCAGCACCTAAAGAGACTTTAAGCATTTCACACAGAGACATTTGAAAATGAGCTGAGGGCATCGAAAGAATTTGCAAGACCACAGCCATGACATGTTTAAAAATGTAGAAGGGAAAATTCCCTTGAGAAGGCTTATGGGGCACCCTGCTTGCAAACAGGGCCCAGGAAGTTGCTTTACCACACTCAACCAGAAAGACATTCAGAAACCACCAGGGCAGTAATTCCAGGGACCCAGCTACGTGTGAGTTGGCAGCAGACTTTGGCATCATCTCTGTGCTGCTGGCTCTTTAGGAATGTAGGGTGCTTATGTTAGGGGTCACAGAAGTTTCCACTGTCATTGTTAGAAAGGCCTGGGAGGTCAGGCAAACTGTCCCTGCAGGCTGCCCCTGAGAGGGTGATATGTGAAGCTGTGAAAGTGAAGCCAAAGTTGGAATGGAATCCCCAGAATTTAATGGATGCAAGTAGCATAAACTCCACCAAGGAATCCTCCTGGCTGCAGAGAAAGCCAAAGGAAAAGAGAGCCCTGTGCTCTGACCCCCCCCACAAGGGGGAAAAGGCAGGCATTGTCAATCCCTCTGGAAATAACATCTTGCAGTCAAAGGTCCTAGATGTTCTAAGTGAAATTCCATGTGGAGTTATGGTTGCTCAGCTGGGTTTGCATTTCCTTTGGCCCATCCATTCTTTCCATAGCCTTGTTATTTCCTTTTTGAATGGGAAGATTTACATTCTACCAGTGGATATTGGATGTATATAATTTGCTTTTGACTTTTACAAGGGCTCACAGCCAAGAGTTTACCTTCAGTTTCAGGTGATATTTTGGACTTGGATTTCAGGGCAAAGACTATGGGACCCTTGGAGATGGACTAAATTCATTTTGAATTGTGAAATGGACGTGAGTTTTGGAGGTCTGGGGTTGAAATGTTATGGATGAGATGTGAAGTGTCTCCCAAAAGTTCCTGAGTTGAGGCCTGAATTTGCAAATGTAAAATAATTGGATTGTGAGACCTCCAACCTAATTAGTCTCTCCTAGTTTGAATGAATTGACTGGGTGGTAGCTTTAGGCTTTGGGTCTATTGCTGGAGGAGGTGAGCCATGGAATTAAGCCCTGGAAACAGTCACCTTCCTTGGATTTCCTTTCCCCTTCCCAGTCTTTGCTTCCTGGCAGCCACATCCTGAGCAGCTTCCCTCTGCAGTATCATTCCTCCATGTGCCCACACCACGGGCACAAAGCCATGGAATTGGCCAATGATTAAACTGAAACTCTGAACCTAGGAGCTAAAAATGTGCTTTCCCTCATCCGAGTTGTTTTTGGGGTTTTTTTGTTTGTTTGTTTTGGTTTGGTTTGTTTTTTTGGACCAGAGATTGAACTTGGGCACTCAACCACTGAGCCACATCCCCAGCCATATTTTGTATTTAATTTAGAGACAGAGTCTCACTGAGTGCCTCACTGTTGCTGAGGCTGGCTTTGAACTCACAATCCTCCTGCCTCAGCCTCATGAGCTCTAGGATTATTGGCATGCACTACTGTGCCTGGCTGGTTTTTGGTTTTGATCAGGTATTTTTGTCACAGCAATGCAAAGCTCACTGACACAATTACTCAGCACAATCATAGAGAGTTTAAAGTGTTTACAAGAGATGTCAAATATGGAAAAACATATGATAATCAATAAATCAGTCACATTATATTAGCAGAATGAAAAATACATGTCTACAAATGGATGTGTCGATTAAATATTTCTGGTATATACATATAATGGTATGTCATTCATCCTTAAAGAATGAACAAGTGATACATGCAACAAGGTAGCTTAATTTCAATGATGTTAGAGTAACTTCAGCCAGAACACAGATCATATATTGAATGATTACATTTATTTCACAAATATGTAAATTCAAAGATACAGAATAAATTTAGTATTTTCCAGTGACTGCAATTAGCATAATATGGAAAATGTATGTAATGGATTAGATGGTTCATTTGAAGTAAAACAAGTATTTGGGGACAAGATGTAGTGGGAAGTTGTGCAATGGAGCAGTGTGGTAAATAAGACTAAGCCAACAACCATGAACTGTTGCAAAGCTTAACTTTATGTCACATAGATTACATCTCATTGATAAGAAATTTTGGTGCTGAACTGCAGACAGCCTTACAGGTTTCCCACTTACAGGTTGGGGAGTGAGTGAGAGTTGTCCACCACCCTCAGTGTTAACTGATCCCCATAAACACCCCTAACACACTGAGGTGAAGGAGGGCACAGATGGAAACACACAGTGAGCACCATCAGTCTCTCCTCAGTGTTACCCGATTCTCAATAACGACTCAGGGCGATGCCCAGCAGAGGAGTTCCTCTGTGCCATCCACTGTCCACATTGGCACATGCCCAGGTCCTCTCTCCTGGGCTCTGGAGAGGGAAAGAAAGAAGTGGGGTAAGGCTGCAGTAGTTATGGAGGAGCTGAAGACAACAATGAATCTTCATGGTACCAACAACTCCATAATGAATCACTATGGCTCTCGTTTATTTTATAATTCATGTTAGATCAAGCAGCTAGCTCCTTGTATGCTTATCAATTAACCCAAATCATATACTCTTGGAAATACAAAGATCAATAGGTACTTCCTAAGTAGAACCCCTTTGCACGTTGTTCTCCAGAGTGGCAAACAGATAAACAAAGCACTTGTTAAAAAACAAGAGAACAAGAAAAAAAAAAAAAACATAAACTCCCCCATGACACCAGCAATGTGACCACAAGTGCAGTGACCCCAAGGTCCCAGTGATGTTGGGATGATGCACAGTGCTGCCGCTCACTTGAGCAGCTTTGCTCCTTTTATTACTTAGTTTAATCACATCAATCTCTAACCTACATTCTAACCACCTCTAAATATAAGCCCCTCTTTCTTAACAGATGACCCTTTTTTCCTCAATTCAGGCAAATTCCCCTGATACCCTGCAGGAGTGATGGTCAGTCAGAAGCACAGTGTGGCTGCCAGCCCTGGTGATGTGCCCCTGGCCTGGGAGACCCGGCTTACCTTCCTTGATGGTAAATAAAGTGAGGCCAGTGTGCCACCTGGCATGACAGATGACTTCAGGACTCCTGTCACCTTCTTGCCTGTTGGCCGCAGATGATGTATGTCTTCCCACCTCCTTGCATTCCAGAAGCACTGGACATGTAGATTGTATCAGTTTTGAAAGTAATCATGATCTTGTGCTGGTAGACACACAGATATGTCCTTGACAGCCTGACACCTGGCAGGGGACACACAGCCTAGTTGTAAGTCCAAAATCATCTTATTGGCTTCCCCAATTTCAAAGAAAAAAGCTTGGTTTGGGAGGCTGAGGCCAAAGAGTCGGATCATAGGTTTGTGGCCAGTCTCAGCACCTTAGCAAGGCTCTACACACTTAGTGAAACCCTCCCTCAAAATTTAAAATAAAAAGGGCTGGGAAGTGGCTCTGTGGTTAAGCATCCCTGTGTTCAGTCCCTGACATAGAAAGAAAGAAAGAAAGAAAGAAAGAAAGAAAGAAAGAAAGAAAGAAAGAAAGAAAGAAAGAAAGAAAGAAAGAAAGAAAGAAAGAAAGAAGAACGGAAGGAAGGAAGGAAGGAAGGAAAGAAAATTGTCGAGAAGTGTAAATTTTCCAAATTCCATCCTCCTCCAAGACACTTTTTATATTCAATGTAAATACAGTACACATTTTCTACAGTAGTATAAATTCCAAAGAATTATAGAATTATATGTGGAAGCACTTTTATTTACATCCTGTAAAATTAGAAGAACCTATGATCTCCCTGGACTTCAATATTAATGACATTTTGTCTCAGTAGTTTAAAACCACTGTATTTACACTATCAAGCTCACTTATTTTTTTTTAATTTGTTCTTTTTAGGTATACATGACAGTAGAGTGCATTTTGACATATTATACATACACAGAGTATAACTTTTCCTCTAATTAGGACCCCATTCTTGTAGTCGTACATGATGTGGAGAATCACAGCTCACTTTTAACATTGTGAAAACTGTGCTCCCCTGTCCTTACTGAGGCACTGTATCAGGCTGCTGGGCACCTGTGGCTGTCACAGGTCAATGGTGGCTTACAGGGTAGCGAGAGTGAGGGAGCAGCCAGCGTCCCTTCCAGGGCTCTACAAGGTCTGAAGTCTGCACAGTGAGTCTCTACTAGGGTTAAGGCTGGCCCCTAGGTCACAGGACATGCCCTGTGAACCCAGGATGGAGACAGGTGAGTAAAAGTCAATAGGTCAGCTACTGAGACACAGTTAAATGATGTCAAGAAGTGAAGTGCACTGAGAAAACAGGATGAATAGCAGCATAGAGGAGAAGCTCCAGACAGGAGTGGGATTATGGGAGGGCTCCTTGTTGGCTCTGGATCCTGAGGACAGCTGAGAGGAGAGATGGGGAGGAGGAGGGAGGGGAAGAGGCAGGCTCACTCCCAGGTACTCCCTCTCAGAACCCTCGGGAGGGGCCTCCTTGACTGCAGCAGGCTCCTAAGAGCCGCAGTGACATCTCTGTTGCACAGGCTGTAGATGAGGGGGTTCAGCACAGGGGTGAGGATGGTATAGAAGGCCGACACCATCACATCCTGCTGCGCTGTGTGGTAGGAGCCGGGGAGCATGTAAGTGTAGATGGCCGCACCAAAGAAGAGTAGCACCACTGTCATGTGGGAAGAGCAGGTAGCCAGTGCCTTCCTGCGGCCCTCGGCTGAGCTGGTCCTGAGATGAGGAGCAGGATGAGGGTGTAGGAGCTGGAGATGACCACAGTGGGCACGAGGAGCATGAGGACGCAGCACAGGTACATGAGCATCTTGTAGAGGGAGACATCCGAGCAGGAGAGCCTCAGCAGGGCAGGGGCCTTGCAGAAGAAGCTCAGGATCTTCCTGGACTTGCAGAAGGGGAAGCTCATGGTGATGGGCGTGAGCAACAAGCCGTCCAGTGCTCCCAGGAGCCAGCAGCCAGACACCAGCAGCCAGCAGACCCTCTGGTTCATCAGCAGTGGGTAATGCAGAGGTCTGCAGATGGCAGCATACCAGTCATAGGCCATGGCCGACAGAAGGAAAAACTCAGCCCCTGCCAGGGTCAGGTAGAAGAACATCTGGATCCCACAGCCTGCAGGGGAGATTGTATGGTCTCCCGTGACCTGGCCCACCAGCATCTTGGGCACAGTCACAGAGATGTACAGGAGATCCATGAGAGAGAGCTGGCTGATGAAGGAATACATGGGGGTCCAGAGGCGGGGCTCTGAGTAGATGAGAAGAATGAGGAGGGCATTCCCAGCTAGGGCCATCAAGAAAATGATGAAGGTCAAAGTGTAGAGGAGGGTAGTGTGGGCGGTGTTCCCAAAGAGTCCCACGAGGAGGAAACTGGTGCTTAAGTTTGATTCCATGAAGTTTCCTTCCCCACATGCATATCTAGCAGGTAGTTTCACCTACGAAGAGTGAGGGTTGTCACTCTCCCTCCATCATGCCTACGTGACTGTCCCAGTCTGCTTGGGTAAGATATGCACATGGAGCTATTTCCCCACACACTGGGTTAAACCGAGGTGTAATCGTAAATTCAAATCTCAGGGAAGTGAACCTGTAGGTGGCCCCAGGAGCAGATTAAGCTGCTCCAGAATCTCAGGACCTGCGGGCTCATCTGGGTCTCACTGCTGGAAGTCAGAGTGAGGCAGATGTCGAGGTTGATAATGTCAGTGGAGCTAAAAATCACACCTCACATCCTCTGAAAACCACAGTCTCCTCCAGTATCCTCTCCTCCTATATCTGCATCATGTGGACCCCGTGCAGGGCAAGGAGCAGCAGTGGCTGGCCACCCCTACAAGGGATTTAATCCACTAACCATCCTGCAGGAACATGATATGTACAAGAAATGGCAGAAATAAAAGTTGGAGATGCTCTAAATATCAACTATTTAGTTTAAAAACAAATTAAGCACTTATTTTTCCTTCTGAGAGTGCTGTTTCTCCCCTAAAACAGTGCCTGGGAGCTCAACATTCCATGTGCCGTGATGGGGGAATGGAGTTGAAGGGCCATGGGAGCAGTTGTATTAAGACTCGGTGCTGCAGCCCCTGCCCGTCTTTGGATCCTTCCAGCCCTGAAGTCCACTTAGAAAACCAGTAGAGTCATCCCTTAGGATCCACAGCTTTGCTCAGGAACAGCTCCACCTGAGATGCACTTGCAGGTTTTCAGCTGACTGGTGTGAGTCACACTGGGCATGAGGAAAATCGTCCTGCACTCAAAGTTAAGGAGAGGTCAGGCTGCAGACTACTGAGGAGTGGGAATTCTGTGCTGTCAGGCTGGTTGTCCCGGGGCTGCTGCACTCATGGTAGAACAGCATGCAGAGGAAAAGTCACACAGCAGCTGAGTCCCAGGTACACACAAAGCAAAGCGCAGTGAACCATGGGCAGGCAGAAAAGGCAAGCCTTCAGGAAAGCTGAAGTGGGACTCGTGCAGGAGACAGCAGCAAGGATCAGCAGCTAGTGTTCCCTGGCCTCCCCTCCTTCCTGGTACAGAGTCCAGCAGACCTGGCAGAGCAAAGCCTTGTGCTTCGCTTCTCTGTTCCCCAGTGAGTGAATCTGCACCACAGCAGCCCAGCAAAGTTGTCCCCGTCCTAAAGATGGGTGATGGGTACACTGGGGAGGCAAGTAGGGAGTTTCATCAGCAGGTTCTTGGCCTGAGGGAACTGAGACACACACCTGCTGTGTGACCTCCACGCTGCTGACGAAGCCTGGACCAGCTCCCCAGGGGAACCTAGGAACCTAGGAACTGCAGCCACCACTTGTCATCTATCCATCTTCCCCACGCTTGGCCTGCACTCAGGACGGGACGCCTGCTGTCCTAAGCCTCTCCAGAAGTCCACCTTTCTGGTTTCTGTTGCTGTCCTGCTTTTGATTTTTTTCCCATTTGGTTTTCCAAGTATATTGTAACTTTCCACTTACAACAAACATGGCAGTTGTACATATTTGCCAATTTGATGGGGTAAAGCTACAAAAATCTCCATCTTTTTCAGTAGGACAGGCATATTGTTTTTTAAATTATTTTCCCAGCTTAAAATCATGTTTTCATATTTGGTATTCATTGTCTCTCTCAATGAAATAAATCTGAATTTCAGAAAGGCAGGATTGTGCAGAACACACATAGTCAGACTATGAACCCAGACAGGATTGAAGGTCCCAGCTCTCTTCTCCTCAGTCTGTAATTGTTCTGTGCACCACCCAATGACCGCTTCAAGTCCTCTTCAACACAACCAAGCATTGCCCTTCAGTACCCTAATCAAGCAAGGATAGGGGCCATGTAGGCACTCTCCTGGCAGACTTGTAAGCCCATAGTAGGTCCACAAGAAACCTACTCACAGTTCAGCTATTTCCTAGTTGTGTCCAAGTTCACTCCATAGCCCCAAAGTTCAAAGGAATTCATGCCTGACATGTTATCACCAGAACAGCTTCCCACTGTCCCTTCTGTTTCTGTGGGAGTGCCCGGTCCCACAGACTCGGACCCATGTGGAGGCCGCCAGGGGAAGGCAAAGACTACAACTGAAACAGGCATCAGCTAAAGCTGCAGTCCAGCTGCCCTGCTGGCTTCAGACTGCGTGATCTCAGTGGAGACCCTAAAATCCCTGAGGCTTCTCAGAATCCAGTCAAGCAGCACATGTACTCTTGTGTCTGTGAATCGCAAGACACATTCAATTCCAACACCCGGCTTGGTCTAGGCCTTCTTTGGGGCAGGGTAAGCCTCCTTTCTCATTGCCCTCTGCCTCCAGGCCCAGAGACCTCCCTTGAAGGTCTGTCTCTTTGTTACCTAACTTAAATGGAAAAGCATGGGACGCCAATCTTGAGCACCCTTGAGCACTTCCCAGCACAGGGAGGCACAGGCATTGACTGGGCTTGTGTCTGTTCACACCAACTGACTCCGGGACTGAGACCCAGCCCATCTCCACCTTGACTCTGAGGCCTGTCTGCTTCCCCCAGGTTCCAGCTACCTCCAAACTCCACGCCTCTGCCTTTGCGCCTTTGTGCCTTTGCATCTTTGTGCCTTTGCATTTTGAGACTCCCCCAGGCTGTTCCGTGCCTGGTCTTACTCAATCAAGCTGTCTGAATTCCAGCACCCTACCCACTGCACTGCCAGCTCCTGCAAGGGTCTTCTGTACCCTAAAGGAGCTGACACCTCTAAGGGGACCCAGAGCTTTGACAGTGCCATTCCCAGAGGCCTCTGTCACCTACTGCTGATTTCATTGCCTCTTTTCAAATTCCAACAAAAATTCTGCATGAATGACATGTATATCTATAATTAAAATGGAAGGTATTTTAAAAGGGTACCTGTTGTATAAGTATGAAAGTTAAAAAATATGAACTTTTTAAAAATTATAGGTGGAGGATGAATGTATTTGAAAACATAAAACCACAAAATTCTCCCTACATAAATTTTATAGTGTAAAAGCACCCATGAGCTGTACACTGATAATATGAATGTTTTACTCACGTATATCACACTTCAGTTAATAATTTATAAAGGGGCTGGGGATATAGCTCAGTTGGTAGAGTGCTTACCTCACATGCACAAGGACCTGGGTTCGATCCCTAGCACCACCAAAAAGGAAAAAAAAATAGTTTTATAAGGTTAATCTAGAAAACACATAAACAGATTCAAGAGTACAAAGAGAAATCAATAATGAAGCTCTCATCCTAGAGATCTGAACCAGATCCTAGAGACTGAACCAGGGGATGCCCAGTGCCACCAACAGACTCCAGGTGCTCACGGCAACACGGGGTGCAATTGGCATCACCTCAAGCAGTCGCAGGGGTCGCTGCCTCTCAACCCTGCCCACTCGGAGGGACCCAGGTCTGAACCTAGAGCAACACTCCTTCCTCGCCTCCTGCTCATGTGGCGTGAGGAGGTCGCATGTTCTAACCATTCACTGTTTGTTTGTGCTAGGAGGTACAGTGCTTGTTTCCTTCCCCATGTCCCCTAGCAATACCATCATACCTGGCACATAGGAAAAATTAATTAGCATCTGTTAAGTGAATAAGTAACTGGAGAAGGCAAATTTATGTTCAAAAATTAAATTAGTGCCACCCCTTTGGGAGTGAATTAGTAATGGCTTTTAACTTAAAGAAGTTCTTCCCCTACACCTTAGGCATTCCAAGGAAATGTACAAAAATATGAACCTTGAAAGAAAGTGGGAAACCTAAATACTTCTCTATGGAAAAATGCATGCATAAATAACAACATTAATGTCAATTCATTGAAACTTTTCAAAAAAAACAGGGCTGAAAGAAAAGAGGTCAAAAAATGATCAGTGTGACACCATTTAACAAAACACCACCCTGCAAAATCTTGACATATTAACATTTTAAATATGAGTACACATATTTGCTGCAGTCATTAAAAACTGATAAGCAAGATACACACCCACTGCAAGGGAAGAGCTTTTTCTGAGAACAGTGAAGCAGGGACCCAAAGGGACACAGGCAGGGCTCCAATGTGTCTATAACTTATTTTAAGAGTTGATATTTCTTTCAAATTTTTGGAGTGGAATTTGAGCAAGGTGAACACTACATTAATTTATATGTATATGTGTGTATATATATGTATATGCATACTCAGCTATGAAATATTTTAAATAAATTATACTAAATAAGTTATTTCCATTCAAAAGGAAAAACACACTATTTCTTAGTGGTATAGGTTATTAACTGTCATTAGCCTTTGCCCGTATTAGAGGACAATGATCACAGTAGACAATATTATATGTAAATCATTAGATTTGGTAAATGTTCAGATGTCAGTCTCAAAAACAAAATGAAAAGATAGAATACATCAGTAGTTATTCCCTCCTGTAGGAAACCATTCATAAGCCATCAGAGAAATAATGTGTCAGTTAAATTTCAAAGCTCTGTGTCATGCAAAAATGTTTCAATCCTGTTTTCATACCTGTGACCGTGGCTTTATGCTGACGCTCCACCTATTCTGGGTAAACATCATAGGCCTTACAAGTTAATGTTTAAAGGTAACTACTTTAACTAATGGAAAGTTTTCATTGCCATTGCAATTTGAATTATTCTAAAAATGAAATCACAAGCCAGGTATGTTGACTTGCACAGTTTCAATTACATATCACCTAAATACACCTGGTTCTGTGGAAAGTTTTCCTGTAGCTTGCAGCCATTTGCATGTCTTCTTGCAGATCTCTTACCATTCTTTTATGAAATTATGTTCAGTAAGCATAAGAATAGGATTCTCTCTGCACATAGCTGGTGATCTGTGTCACATGGCATCTTATGTCGGTGCCCACACTGCCCTGACTGCTGAGCGCTGTGCCTGTTGAGGGAAGGACAGCCAGTCTGCACCCTGAGTCAGGATGGAGAACCGTGATCTGTGGGACTTCCAA